TAATTCACGTTTCATAGAGAGAGCATGTGTTTTATTACTATGGGCATATGTGATAGATAGATACAGAAAAATAAAAAGATGGATCGAAGAAAAAAATGCCAGATAAACTTTACTTCTATTACAATCACAAATTAATTTTGGATCTCTCGTTCTGTCGCTCACTCTATGATTCTTGCGACCTAGGAGCACAGAAAAAGAGACTGGATCGACGAAAGAAATAACGCAAGAGTGCAGAGACAAGAAATATCTCCACTATTGGATCGATATTTCATTTCTCTTTCTCTCTGTGAACCCGTGCTATTCACACTATTCATACTTATAACCATTAATGAAACAAACGCTTGTGACAAAAACAACTGAATAAGAGCCGATGACATTCCCCAATGGAAAGACAGCTTATTTAATGGCTTGAAATTTATGTTTCAAATAAATGAAATTCGCTCACTCTAGCATGACAGATACACATGCTAAACGTTGCTATATTGATTATAAATCATTGATGGCAAAGTATTTTTCCTACGCTCACCAATCTGAGTCAGTTCACAGTCGAAAGGAATCCTCAGATTGTACCAATGCTCGATAGGACATATTTTTCGTTGTTTTATTGTGCATCAGTGAAAATACTGAGGTTTCTCAAAGAATATTGGCATCAATTCTGAAATTATTTTCTACCCGAACTTAGGGCGGGATGGGGCGTGACTATGTGTCCATGTGTGTGTGAATGTAGATCTTCCTTTCGCTGATAACCACATTCAAACCCCCCCCAGCCCACACTCAGGTCCACAAAAACATCTTCGTTCTCATCCAAATACAACCGCACCAACATCCACACCCACACCCACACCCTGTATGATCATCAAGCCACTATCGAGGTGCATGGTAGAATATCAAGATGGATAATAATCAATCGAAATAGTTCTCAAGGTTTCGGGTGAACATCTACGCTATTCATTACATACCATAATGATATGACCGACTTTATCTCAGGGGCAATGTTCTTTTTCTATGTAGACGACTGTTTTTGTAGCAACTTGAATTCTATTCGATTCTAGCTTTGAAACCAATTAACTATTCAAAAACACAAGTGATGTTCTCGGCGCAAGTAGTTCTTTATCCAAACCCGATACCGCTTGTTCGTTGCGGAGATCATTTAATCGAGTGGATTTCTTCATTCAAATACTTGGACTACTGGCAAACGACGAAGCTAGACCTGGAAAAAAGTTATTCGTAAGACTCAATTAAAGGACGGTCAACGAACTGCATTAATGAATTCGCCCAGAATTAGTAGTACATTCTCTTCCAAGCTGTGACGAATTCTCTTTTCTACTTTCGTACTCCCACATTTCACTTGGCTATTTGGGTTATACCATTTATTTACTAAATCTCAACAGGATTGAACTTAATCCTTTATATTACACGCTATTATAACGAGTGTGCCGCTGTTCATCTTAGGAGGACTTTTTATTTTCGTCCATTTATAATGAAAAATCGTTGGGTGATCTCTGCTATGCCTTTTGGGAAAAGTATACAAAGGTACTGTCGAAGTTTAAGTATGGAAATCTGTTAGTGTAACAATCGGAATTGAATGCATATAGATCAGAATGGCAAAAAGGAACAGGATGGATTCACTGTCTACGCAAATCAAAAGAATTCGTACCACACATAGATGTATTAGACCGAGTGCTAAGATAGATGATAACTTATGGAATTTCAAATTCCATAGTAGTATGCAACGAAGAAGAATCTTTATACTTTACTTTATTTGCAAAAACAATCTAGACAGTCAATTCTATGTCACGCTGACAAAAAAGAAGAGAAGAAAAAAACAATGCAAGATGTAAGTCGAGTCTGGCATAAAAGCGCTACATTTAAACTGTATTAGAGATGCTTAACAACTCTTTTGTAAAACTATTACAGTTGCAAATCAACAACTCTCTGAAAAATCTTAAAAAATTACAGAAGAAAAAATCGATGGAGTTTATTATTTTTGTAAAACGGAGCCCCTGTTGGGTTTTCAGACTGTTACAACAGTCCACTTCGTTCCACGAACAATATCACGTCGAATTATCACTGAATACCTTCTAATGAAGTCATACGATGTAGAGTTTGCTGAACAATTTCATGAAGAAGACTTATAAAATCGAGTGAAAGTTGTATAACTTTAAGACTAAAGTTAGAGATTTCAGCAATCAAGAGAATTTCTTTTCTTCGGATTAAACCGCTCTTAATTTAAATTGTTTATCGATAAATATAAAGTAAAAACTAACATGTGTACGACATATATAAAGACCTGATTGAATTCAAAATGAAAATCAAGAATGAAAACAAATTAATTCGAAAATGAACTTTTTCGAATGTTTTCCAAATATTTCGAAAACGATGGATTTACATATTTCAGTTGATGGTTATCATTTTGAATATATCTTATAAAGCAAATTATATGAAATAAAACTTTAAATAAGATACTGTCATATTATTTAAAAAAAACAGAAATGGATTGAATTATGTTAGAGATATTTACGTTTACTTTTGGGACGGACTTTTGGGACGCCCTGTATATGTGCCTATTACTCATCTCTTTAAAGCATATGATATCCCCATAATTATTGTATTGTTCGTTTTCTCTCTTAGTACTGTATTGGTTGCTTCACGCTTCAATTCTTTCTATTTCTTCTGTTCTTTTTTCTCGTCTTATTCTATTTTAATTCAGTTCACTACTGGTATCTATGATCTTAAAGCTCAATTGTTCCTTTACGACTGGCATGATCGTACGGTTAAAAAATGGTAATAACAACAAGATGAATTATTGATTCTTGAATAAAAACAAGTAGCTACTTTTATTCGCATTTCGATCATGTTTATTAAATTTTTTGTCTCACAACAACAAGTGCTTTCGTTTCAGTTTTTTATTTATTTGATAAATACTTCCTCACAGCACAGACTCATCATTCATATTTTGTAATGTATGTGGTTCTTTTATTTGTACGAGACTGTTGATCGTTTTAATGTTTTTTATGCATGAGAAACAAAAAAGAAAAGAAAAAAAAAACGGATAATAATATAAACAGAGCAAATTATCTACCACTGAGCACGTTCTATATCAAAAAAAGAAAGTAAAAACAAAACTACTATTGATTTTGTACATTTCATGATTTTAATAAAAAAAAACCATATTCATTGCATTTGCGTGATTAAAATGTTCACTTTAATCAAAGAATTTGAAATTTATCAATTTTGATGTCTATTTCATAATCTGAAACGTCATTTTCTTTGTGTTTTTAATACAAAATTCATGAATGTCATGAAATTTTTTTCATACTTTAATTTCTTGTGTGCATTGTTTTCTAGATCGACACGTGATCAACATATCTCTTCGATGTTCTCAAATATTTTATAGAATGTTCTCGATTTATTGAACGTCTCTTAATTTCATTACAACTAGCCTATTCAAAATCGAGTTTATCATCAGTAGATTTGTCAAAGACTTCCAAATACTTCACTTTTTAAAGATTGCATCTATCGTTTAAAACATTTCAATTAATGTGTATCATTGAATGACCTGCGTATATTACGAAGAACAATATAAATATATTCATTTTATGATTCACCGGTATTTATCAAAATGGTCGAAAGAAAAAAACGTCGAAAATGTTTCCGATGTCATTAAGTGGCTCTATTAGGTAATAAGATGTGAAGCTTGAGATTAGAGATGAAGCGAGGACTGATATTCACACCCACATGAAGAAGCATATAGCCTTATTGCTGATTTTATCTCTGAATATTTTTTGTTGATCTACTTAAACATGAATTAGTTTTCAATACACAATAAAATAACATCATCACACTGGCTGATAATGCTGAAGTCCACTTTTTTGACAAATTCATACGATTGGCAGGTCTTTTTTGCTATAGACTGTTTCGATATTTTCTTCATTCGCCATTTTTTCGATTGACTGTTTATGTTGCGCTATTTTTTTTTTCGTTATTCTTTCGTTCACTATTTTTTTCTTTTGGCCAATTCAATATCATTCGTTTCATTACGCTTTGAAACGCAATTTCTATCGTGAGAGAGAAGAAGAGAAAAAAAGCGAGTAGCTAAAAGTACGATTATTTGTTTATTATATAAGGCCAATATTCGTCTCACTCATAAATAAAAACCTTTATCAAATCAACATGGCTCGTTTTCATACACTATTCTCGATTGTGATTGTTGGTCTATTGGTGATGTTACTTGCTGAGCAGATTCAAGGCACCTGTTACCAGAATTGGAGTCGGTGCACGAAATGGTCATCAGGCTTCACTGGCTTTCTGTGGCAATCGTGCAAAGATCGATGTGTCTGCATGGGCTATGCGAGTGGCAACTGTAAACCAGTTCCGAACACGTGTTCTTGGTTACCACGAGGAAATAAAATTGATCAATGCCAATGTTATGGAAAAGGTCGACCACTTTCATGGTGGCGGAAACTTCTATGTAAAACTGCATGGGGTGGCAAATGAATCAGACACAGTTCATAGACGAACTTGCATTTTAGAACTAATCATATTCTTTATAAATTTAGTATCATGTCTACGAAGAAAAGCGTTTATTATTTCATTTATTTGTTTTTTTATTATATATGAATAAAATCTTTGCTTCACTATATAATAACTAACACTTTAAGTTACTATTCTTCTGTTGCTACATAGATCGAATCAGACTTGCTGTTGAATTACGATTGATTTTAGGGTAACTTCACGAGGAGAAGTAGGTGACACTAGTGAGAAGTTGTTTTATTTTATTCATATTTCAATTATATATCATAAACGAAATAAATTCATGAGTTTGAAGCTGAAAAATTTCTGATTTGCAACATCTGTATTACTGAAAACATTTTTTTTCAATTATATGTCTGTTATCGCTATATGCATAAGTCGATATTATATGAAGTCGAAGAGAAATTACTCTTCTATAGTTGACCAATGTTAATACAGTTCCACTACAAAATAGCCATGTCCATAAACTATTTTCGTTATTTCTTACAAAAACAAAAGTGATACATGGCTATCTCTATGCACATGGTCACACGAAAACCTTTGACATTCACTCTTATTTCAATCATTTTCTTCCCTTTTGCATTTGAAAATGATTAAACAAGAACAACGCAAATCGTTAGACGCAGTTGGCCTTCGAACCTTGAAAAGAAAGTATAAGAAAGAACGAATATAGTGATGGAAACGTATTATCACAGTACAAACTTTACACTTCAAAAAATGGTTTTTGAAGCATTTTTTTCAAGGTTCGAAAGAAAATCCAACAATAATTAATGGAACAATTGTATTTTGGTGGGAAACTTCATCCACTTTACATTTCACACGAACTCAAAATCGACTATATTCGTGCATATCTCCTGAACAAGAGTGTGGGTGTGGGTGTTTTCTAGGCGAACATCCACAGTTATATCCATCAATATTTGTTTCATTTTTCCTTGAATGGTTGTGTCTAATGGTAATGTCATTGAAGTTGAGTCAAGTGGATGCTGGCTGATAAAATAGTTATCAATCTGTAATCATATACGTTTCAGTTTCTAATTTATTTAACTTCGCTTGCAGCACTTTACAATCTTCCAAGTTGTTGTGGTCGCTAGGCAATTGTGCCAGTTGCTTGTTGAGAGTCTCTTACAGAGACTTCTTGCCTCATCTAATATTTTAGTAAAATTGCTGGCATTGCTGATCGTTCTGTTATCATTTTTCATGGTATTCGCGTTTTGGAAAAGGCAATCAGCCAATTTGTATTCTGTTCGTGCGACATCTAAATGCTGCAAAGGTAACACTTGTTTCGGTTTTTCCATTGC